TTTTTTTCTCCGTTATCTGCCCAAAGTCTGTGGTACGTACTAAATCCTAGCAATCGATTAAAGGGACATCGTTCATCGTTCAACCAACACTAGCAAAGCGAAAAAAGACCAGTATGTTTGCAAACTCAACGGATTTACCATGGATAGTTCATGTAAACTGCATCAAGACTATCAGAAACCAAGCTATATTTGGACTGACACTGCTTTTCACCATTTTAATTCTAAACGGAACCATCTCCTTCGTCTTGGTTCGAAAACTKMGAAGACTTTCAGTGGGAAGAATAATCATTCTGAACTTGTCTTTTGCTGATTTCTTGGTGTCCTGTACAACTATTCCGTACGTGATAGCCTTGATGGCAGGCAGTCCACTGGTCAGTACATTTTGTCAAATTACTGGATTTTTCAATCGATTCACTCACTCTTCGTCTATGTATTTAATCACAATAATGGCGGCTTGTCGTTGTTACGGTATCCTCAAGCCTTTCCAATACCATGTTCATCTAACCCCTTCCAAGATACATAAGATRTGTGTTGGTGCTTGGTGCCTGGCACTTGGTTTGGCATTTATGCCATAYTTGGGATCAGTAGAGTACGAGACTTTAAAAGGACGATGTTTGTGTCARTTAAATACCAATAAATATCCCTTTAACTGGATGGTGTACTGCCTTATATCTTTCGTGGTACCGTTTGTAATAAACACAATAATATTCGTAAGCACAACCAGCAAGMTCATAGGACGCGAAGACATCACAAAACAGGCATTGAARTCAAAACCTGGAAATTTGGACAAAATTTTCAAGCAAACGAAAGGAGTACACCCCGAAGTCCCTATAGAAGACGTTCAGGGTATCTTCGCGGCAACACATTCAGAACTTGAAACTAGAAGAGGATTAGAAAAGCCTTCAGATCAAGAAAGAACAAATGATAAACAGACTTTTCAAGTAACAGTAGAAATCCACCAGGATTCAAGAACCTTAAACCCTGATCGCCTGACGCAAAACCCTACAGAACTTTTTCAACAGCCTGACGAGTCCAGCAGCAAAAATGAAAATCACTTGCAAATTATTGGTGGCATCGAAAGAAAAGATAGTAAAAAAATGGAAGASAACATGATRTGTAACGCAACACAAGACCCCCAATTTGAACCGCATGCAAGCCCGATTATTCAAAATCGCCCTAAACAAATCCAGTCAAGGAAAAGATCTTCCAAGAAGCGTATAATCCTGATTGTAGCGCTTATATTTGTTTGCTATGTTATATTATGCGGTCCGTCGTACATTGTCATGAGTTCGTAYGCCCTAATGGCAAATTCTGTACCAAAGGAAGCTTTCAGTATTRCAAATTATCTAAGTTTGACGAGTTCGTTCATAAATCCATTCTTATACGCGCTACTCAACGAGGAATTRAGGTCCGACATAAGAAAAATCTTTCCTTGCAAGAAGAGTTAACATATATATTCTGGCATAAAATACTGCAAACGGCGAGCAAACTGAAACACACTCATAAGAATTAAATCTGCTACGAATTGAAAAAAGTATTATTATTTTTTACTTAWAGATGAATTTAAGACTTTTTGCATGTTTTACATGTAGACACAACTTGAAGAAAATTACCGGAAACTTACTCAAACCATTATTTAAGTCCATTTAAGTTTATTGTTATATTTATATCTAGTTGTTTCATTTTCTTTTCTATATATTTCACAGTGTCATTTCATTTCATTTTCTTTCATTTCATTTCATTTAAATGTATTTTATTTTCTCATTTATTTTACATTCATTTTACATTTTATCTATTGTAATTAGCTCGCGCTGTATTGCTATGTTTCCTCRCGCGCTTTCYRTTTTTTGCGTTGTTTAAAATCTTACGTGTACTCTACCTTGATAATGGCCGCTTAGGCCGAAAGCTYGGTATTAAAAYATCATATAAACGCAGAGGATTCTTTAATTTTTAGAACWTGAAGATTGTTATTCTAGGACTGTCTTTCTTAACRAMTGAAGTAAATTCATAGGTTCATTTTCTATTTTTCTGTTGTTATTTTTTAATAACACGCTGGATTATTCTGAATAATATGGAGTATCTCTCTCACACCTCACGAAATTGCAAAACAATTACGCGAGAGAAAAAATGAAACTGCCATAGCCGGTTTGGCAGGTTGTATGCGGTTAACAAACTGATTAGTTGATTTTACTCTCGTAATCCTTTAAGTTTTGTTTTATATGTCCTACGTCGCCATCGCTTCCTCAGCTCTCTCTGTCCTCTCCATATGACAACCGACTAATGAAACACATAGATACGATAGATAGAAAGAAACCTTTCTTATAGTGAAAGAGGTTATTCCGGGAAAAAGAATTGCTCGTTTTYAATCATCCTCATGAGATTCCAAAGATAAAAGACCGCCGGMCATGTTGGTTGAATGAACAATAGATACTAATTAGAAATCCTTTGTTGAAGTTCAACCAAGGTGGAGGCTGTGACGAAGAATTATATTAATTATATTGCAAACGAAGAATTGACTTGATACATTATTGAAAGCTTCTAGGACGCGAGGCAAACCAACTTCACCCTGAGCTGCATCCGTACCAAAGTCAATTACAAATGATTACAAGAATCTGTACTCTAAACTTTACACGGACATAACATTGGAATGAAATGAAGTACCACAAATCGTCCACAGCATTTTAAACATAAGTTTTATACACATTATTATTCACGTTATATGTGAGAAGGGGAGGAGACTCCATCACTTACCGGTAAGCTGAAAGATTTCCAGGTAAGTGATACAAGGTCGACTAACACAACGGACGGGCTTCCTGTGTACATTTGATTGACACCTCCAATGATAACCATAGAATCATTGATGATATGGGCGGTGTGAGAATATCTAAATAATAAAGCATTCGAACTTGTTAAAGAGTGATTTGTCCTGTTAGACCTATTATAGGATGGACTAATCTCACGATCTGGAAAACGAGACGCTTCAAAGTTGTGTTCTTGTTGCTGTTCTTGTTGTGTTTGCATTACAATAGGATAGTCATTTTCATCCGTCTATGAAATAGGAATTGTACTAGATTGGTTTTCATTAACCCGTGAAACACACTTTAGCGTATTTACCGCTATTACACT